TCAGATCTAAATAATTGGAAAAACATCAGTTGCTCATGGGTAGGCCGAGCTAATATAGTAAAAATGACAATTCTACTTAAGCTAATTTATTTATCAGTACCATACCAATCAAACCACCAAAAAATTATTTTATAGAGTTAGAAAAAATAATAACAAGATTCATTTGGAAGAACATAAGATCCAGAATATCAAGGGAACTAATGAAAAGAAATACAGGGGAAGGTAGCCTGGCCATTCCAGATCTTAAGTTGTATTATAAATCAGCAATCATCAAAACTGCTTGGTACTAGCTAAGAAATAGAGTGGTGGATCAGTGGAATAGTTTAAGTATTCAAGACACAGTAGTTAATGACTATAGTAATCTATTATTTGATAAACCCAAAGACCCCAGCTTCTGGGATAAGAACTCACTCTTTGACAAAACTGCTGGGAAAACTGGAAAAGAGTATGGCAGAAACTAGGCATAGATCAAAATCTCATACCATATACCAAAAAGTCAAAATGGGTTCATGATTTAGATATAAAGACTGATACTATAAGCAAACTGGGAGAACAAGGAATAGTTTACCTATCAGATTTATGGAGAACAGAAGAATTCATGACCAAACAGGAGATAGAGAACATTACAAAAAAGCAAAATGGATAGCTTTGATTACATTAAACTGAAAAGTTTTTGCACAAAGCCAATGCAACCAAGATTAGAAGGAAGGTAGAAAATTGGGAAAGAATTTTTACAACCAATCTCTCTCATAAGGGCCTCATTTCTAAAATATATAGAGAATTAAGTCAAATTTATAAAAATACAAGTCATTCCTCAATTGATAAATGGTCAAAGGATATGAACAGGCAGTTCTCAGATGAAGAAATTAAAGCCTATATCTATAGTCATATGAAAAAATGTTCTAAATCACTATTGATTAGAGAAATGCAAATCAAAACAACTCTGAGGTACCACATCACAGCTATCAGATTGGCCAACATGACAAAACAGGAAAATGATAAATGTTGGAGATGTGGGAAAATTGGAACACTAATGCATTGTTGGTGGAGGTGTGAAATGATCCAGCCATTTTGGAGAGCAATTTGGAACTATGCCCGAAGGGCTATGTTCATACCCTTTGACCCAGCAATAGCACTTCTAGGGCTGTATCCCAGAGAGATCATACAAATGGAAAAAGGACCCACATGTACAAAATTATTTATAGCAGCTCTTTTTTGTGGTGGCAAAGAATTGGAAATTGAGAAGATGCCCATCAATTGGGGAATGGCTGAACAAGTTGTGGTATATGAATGTAATGGAATACTATTGTGCTATAAGAAATGATGAACAGGCTGACTTCAGAAAAACCTGGAAAGACTTGTATGGTCTGATGCTGAGTGAAGTGAACAGAACCAGGAGAACGTTGTACACAGTAACAACCACATTGTGCAATGGCTAATATTGATAGACTTAACCCTTCTCAGCAATACAAGGATCTAAGACATCTCCAAAGGCCTTATGATGGAAAATGCTATCCACGTCCAAAGAAAGAACTATGGAGTTTGAATGCAGATCGAAGCATACTATTTGCTATTTTTTCTTCTTCTGATGTGTTTTGTTTTTTCTTTCTGGTGGTTCCTCCTATTGGCTCTAATTCTTACTTACAACATCAGTAATGTGAAAATATGTTTAATAGGAATGTATATGTATAGCCTATATCAGATTGCACGCTGTTTTGAGGAGGGAGGTGCGGAGGGTGAGGAAGAAAAATTTGAAGCTCAGAAACTTATGGAAGTGATTGTTGATAATTCAAAATAAATTATTTTTTTAAAAAATAGGAGGGTGTCAGAGTTGATCAGTCTTATGTGTAGCCTAAAGATGGCCACCCCTCAGCCTGCTACTTGTCACCATATTCATTTTATCATCCTGAGTTAGAAGGCAATCATGTGCTATATTTGGGTATTTCCTTATTACTAAAACTACAATCTTTCATTAATCAAGCTCTGAGCCTGCATCCCAGTTTCTTAAATATGCCTTATTTAATAAATTGAGGAAAGCTTTTTCCATAGCAGTTGTTCTCCAATCTCTCTCTCATTCCCTCTCTCCTTCCTATCTCTTCCTCCTTTTTTCTCTCTCCTTCTTTCCTTCTCTTCCTCCCTCCCCCTCTCCCTTTTTTCCATCTCTTCTTAAATAAATATAAATTCTGTTGTTGATACATGATATGGGTAAGAAGTAATAAAGTTTCAGTTTTGACCATCACTGCTCTTTTTGACTTCTCATTTCTGCGACATAATCCCATCATTCAGCATTCAAGATAGCACTCAAAAGTCTCTCAAGGGTTCTCTTCTGATGTATTCAATGTAAAGGTTAAACTCAGATCTCTCAGGGAGTAAGTTCTTTCATTCTGTTCTCTCATAGTCCCTCTTGATCCATGAGCTGCTCTCCTGAACAACATTTAAACTCAAGTGTCTACACAGACTCTCCATGGAATGACAATTAAAGTGTATCTTCACAGATGCAATTAAAACTAATTTTCTTTACAGATGACAGTTAAAGCTCATTTTCTTTACAGATGATAATTAAAACTCTCCATCTCTTCCCATACTCCTCTAGTAATGACTTAAATTGTTAGTGTTTGAGATTCATAAGCCTCTTAAAGATACAACAACACTGTATATCATATGAGAAAGGTTATTGAAGCTCTTGTTACATTAGTAAAAGGTGTGACATAAAAGCTTGATATTTTTTCCAAATCATATTAAAAGTAAATAAGACTTAGAGTTCCTTTGCTTTTTTCCCCCTGGCTTAGGTTTTCATCATCCTTTTTAAAGTAACTTTTGTTTACTGTCACTAAATGTTTCAAATGTCCTTGATTTTAAACATTGGCATTTACAGTACATTCTCAAACTTTATAGTAATTACATCTGAAAAAGAAATCAGAGTTGGAACATCTTGAATTATTTTTTAAAAGCAATTTATGTGTTTGCTGTTTAGTAAGTGACATCGTTACAATGCAGTTACCATGAGATAGAATCTTTAGGCATTGCTGAAGTGGCTCCAGGAAAGGCACCCCAGTTCTTTCAAGAATGGAGCTTGCATAACTAAAAGGTTTCATGAGCTACACTCACCATTCCCTCTGACTCCCTTATCCGAATCGTTTCTCTATAGCCACCAATGAACAAAGAAAAGATTTGCAAACATTTTTGTGATGAACTTTATTCTTTCAAGGCTGTGGAGCCACCCCATTCAGACTACAGCATGATAGCCTCATGTGTATATAAAGGAAGTGTAAATGGCACAAGCAGAGATGGAAAAAGCAGCTGGATTGCCTCCCCTCCCCAACCCTAGCTAGTCATTTAGATATGAGGAGATAATACATTGTGTCCTCTTTGGACCATATCATAGAGTCATATAGGGACTCCAATTAGACAAGGCCTGGAAGTGGTTCTGTTAGGTCTTGATGATCTTAACAGAAGAATGGAAAGGGGAAGAGGCATACATTAGGGGAGGGGGGAAAGCGATAGTGAAAGGAAAGTTAAGGAAAACTATCTCACATAATTAGAGTACTCAAAGAGACATCTATACAAAGAGGAGAGATGAGGAGGAGAAGCTAACACTTGAACCTCATTCTCATCTGACCTGGTCCAAAGCAGGAGAGAGAGAGAGAGAGAGAGAGAGAGAGAGAGAGAGAGAGAGAGAGAGAGAGAGAGAGAAAGAGAAGGAGGGAAATGCATTTCACTCAACAGAGAAATGGGAGAGAAAGGGGAGAAGGAAGAATGGGAAATAAGAAGGAATATAGATTAAGTGAGGAATTAGTCCTAAACAAACAACCAACAAAAAAACCCCAGTGTTTGAATTACATCTGTCATAGTGGATATGTGTGCACGTCTGCGTAAGTTAGGGTTATGGTTTGGGTTAGGAGAACTTATGTACATACACATACAGAAATGATAATGTTCAGGATCAGTAAATAAATTCACTAAGCACATATGCAACTTCCTGGGTAAATCTAGAGGTGTTAACAGGAGAATTTTTTTTAATGGTCTTCCATATTGGCAAGCAAGAATATTATTTGATGGCATCTTTTTAAAAAAACAAACAGGTAGTTTCTCGTTAAATGAGTTCATTCATTTAGGTGTTGTCATTCTATACGCTACATGGTAGTTTGGGGATTGGTATTTTATTATATGTAAAACACAGAGGTGAGCGTTCAATTTAACAAGAATTTATTAAGCACTTACTATGCACCAGGCACTGTACTAGGAACAAATGGGACAGCCTTCACTGTCAAAAGACTTACGTTCTACTGAGGGGAACAACATATACACTGATACATAAGCAAACAATATATTCGAAATATAAAGTGATTTTTGAAAGGGAGAACTAAAAGTTCAGGAAAAGTTCCTTGTAGAAGGTGGCAGAGAAGCAAAATTTTGGAGGAACTTCAAGCTACCAAGATTAAAAGATTCCAGGCAGTAGGAGATGTCGGGTCATGTAGAAGTTACAGAAAAGTAGGCCTTATTGGCTGGAATGCAAAGATTGTGGAAAGGGTAATGTGTAGTTAGCCTAGGAAGATAAGATGGAGCCAGATTGGGAAAAGCATTAAAGGTCCCATAAATGAGCTCATATTTGATCCTAGAAGCAATAATGTTCGGGAGCCACGAAGGCTTCTTGAGCAAGAGAATGGCATGGTCAGACCTGTACATGAGGATCATTCTGAATGTAAGCCTGTATTTTTATGTTCATTTCAATATTAGCTATCCAAAGGGATATAAAAAGTTGTTTTGCTGGTTACTTTTGGGCTTTAATGTATTTTTCTTCTAATACTACTAAAAATAACAGTGATGCTCTGTTGCCATTTTTCTTTGCTCTGTATACTCTTGATATATAAATATAAATCTTTCAGTAGTTTGTTTTGTAAGGGGTTTTGTACAAACCTGTGACTTCACAGGCTTACATATATCTGCAAAACAATTTTGTAAAGATTATATGTTGTGGTTTTTTTGCATTAAAAAAATAGGAGCAGATGTCTCAAGTATTGGATGCAATGTTTGAAAAGCTGGTGAAAAAAGGAGAGCATGTAATCGATCAAGGGGATGATGGTGACAACTTTTATGTAATTGACAGGTAAGTTATAACCATGGCACTGACATTTTTTTAAAACCCTTTATGTAAAAAGCTCATTTTTAATGGTCATTTGGCAAGCTGGTCCATAGTAGTTACTAATACTTCTTTATTATAACCTTATAGTATAAACAGTCACTGAACAAAATCACACTTATTCTAACAAGTAAATAAAATAGACTTTGAGACAGAACCATTTAATTATATATTTATTTGCAGGTTATCAAAAAACTTAATTATCAATCAACCAACAAGTATATATGTGACAGGCTAGTGTATCTTTTATGTACTAGTTCCAGTTCTAGGCAATAACATACAAAGACAGTCCTTCCACTCAGGAGATTGTTGTTTTGGGTCAAACTGCATATATACATGTGTCAGAACAAAGTGTATACAAGGCAAATACATGGAAATTCCAAGGGGCCTTAGTAGATTTGGAAATCAGGAATGGAATCATATAGGAGGTGAACCTTGCACTGAGTTCCGAAGGGACCTTGGAAGCCTAAGAAGAGAATGCATTCCCATCAGGAGAGTAGCAAAAGCTGGAATATTGTGTACAAGGAATTCCAAGTCGGCCAGAGTGAATGGAACATAACATGTGTAAAGGAAAAAGACATGCAATAACCCTGGAAAGAACTTTAAATGCCAACCAGAGGGGTTTGTTTTTCATCCTAGAAACAGTAGGGAACCATGGGAGTTAAATGCTTAGTGTCATGGTCAGTCCTGTGCTTTAGGATTACTGTAGTGGTACATTTTTTATTTATCATTTAAATAATAGTTTACATTTTCATTGCACTTCCAGTTTACCCCATGCTTGATGTACATTATCTTATTTTTCCTTTCAGATATTCCTGTGAGATAGGTCTTCTAGGTATTACACCTTCCTACTGGTGAGGAAGCTAAATGTCTACAAAGGTCGTGATGTGTTTAAGGTGACATAGGGAAATTAGTAACAGAACTGGAACTTTGGGGTTCTGACTTACTCATTAGAAGCATATTTTCAAAGCTGAACAACAAGCATACTCCAGAGTTTGATTTTTTTAAAGTTCATATTAGTGATAGTTGCACTATGTTTTATATCTGTTTGATCCCACAGCATAGCAGGGCAGTATGGAGAAAGTAGTATTTATAAATGGTTCGGTAAGGAAAATGAGATATGCAGAGGACCTGTTTTGCCTATAGTATAAACAGATCTGTATCCTTTTCTGACAATGTTTTAATTTATCTACTTTATTTTTAAAACCTCCATGTAAAAACAGCAGCTTAATTGAAAAATCATATGTGTAGATTATAGAAAGCAATTTAGGATTAAAATGTAACTGCTTTTCCAAGCCCCAAAACATCATTGTGAAACTAAATCTTTGAAAAATTAACTTCTTCATAGAAATGTGTCTTATCAGGTATGGTTAAATAAGCTCTAGTCTTGAGCAAGTAAAAAGAAATTGGTAAGGGGTACTTACCAAATAGTATATTTCTACTATTTAAAAAACAAGCAAAACTCAACAAAGCATGCAGAATGGTAAGGCAGGATTATTAGCCCAAGCACAGTTTGCCTCTAAGCCTTTTTTAGGTAAACAGATTTGCTTCTCTGAGCAAATTGTGGTGAGTGGTACTGAATTAAAGACATCCTAATGTTTGTCACTCACAAGCCCTCTCTCATTAGGCCATACTGTGCAGAAATGTGCCTATTAGACCTCTCATATTCCTCTGTTTCCTGTGGTTTTATTTTTTGAGATAAAATATGTAGGTGAGGGTAGTAAGTTATATAAACAAATAATCATCTGATGTGACATGCTCTTTGAGTTATATCTCCTGCAATAGTCAAGAATTTGCACAAATTCACACATACACACATACTCATGTGACCAGTAGTACACATTTACAAGCTGTCTGGTCCATATTTGGATCCAACCAGTGATATTACTGTCATTAATAACATGCACTAATGTACTGAGCTTAAATCAGACAATATTTATGGTAGTAGCAATAGGAAAATAGTATATGCTTGTTTTTACTGGGTAAGTAATAATAAGAATAGCTGCCTTTTATTTGCTTAGCACTGGGAACTTTTCCAGAGTGTTTTTATTTCTGTTTGACCTGTAAAACATCCTTATGAGGTAAGTGTTCAGTTTGACAGATTAAAAAAAAAAACTGAAGTAAAGAGAGTCTTACACTTATCACACTACCATTAATGATTCACACAGCTGAGATGAGAATCAATTCTGGGAATCCTGGTTTTAGTTATTTTGACCAGACCATGCTTCATGGATCGCTAATATCAGAGTGATATATTGTTCCACGTGTTTTAATTCAGTTACTTACTTCTCTCCTGGTAGTTATACTGGTATATGCCACTCTGCTTAAAAGTTAGAAAACTTTATTTTACTTCAAAAGAGAAGAATGTGGTTAGATTTAAATAAAACAGGTAGCATGAATAATTATTCAGTATTAACTGGTATCTCTGAAAGGTTCAGTTGTCATTAAATTATGAAAACAAATTATTCCCTTCTCTTCCCAACCACCCATTTTCATTTTACATGTTCCTTTCTCTTTCTAATCGTTTCTCATCTGTAATCCTTATTTCCCTGAAGTTTATTTTTCAGGGATCCCTGGGTTTTTTATTTTCTTTAGGGTATAGCTACATTTTAGCAGAAGAAATCCTTTCACACCTGCATTCACATATGCTCAAGTAGGTCCTAAAACAGTGTTCTTGCCAATAAAATGCGGGTGTGTGGGAAGACACTCACACACACAAAATGTAGTTTATATAAATACAGATTGTAGGCTGCGCAAAGTACCCTGAGATGCAAATTCATTTCTGTTGAATCTTATTTGTATAGAAGAGGAAGGCAAATTAGAAGACAGGCACAAACAAAAGACATAGAACATGAACATCATCATAATCTAACAGTAGATTAGGCATTTTTTAATTTAATTTTAATTTAATTAAATTTTTAAATTTAAAGCTTAATCTTCATTTCTAGCCCTTTATATTTTGAGGAACTTTAGATGATAAGTAGCATCTCAAACATCTCATACTTTGTGACAGGTTCTAGCCTCAAAGCTACAGTTGCATCTATAATCACATTTGGCTGCTTTTTGTTGTTGTTGTTAATTTTGTGCCCCCCTAAAAAAAATTGTTCAATTTATAGCTCATTTTGCCCACCAGATATGCCTGTCATCCTTGGTTAGTCAATTTATGTGCATCTTCTAAAATTGTAGAGAAACTCTTGCACTTGACTTATCCATAATGGGTAAACTTTGACACGCGCAGTAGCCTTTGGCAACTCAATACCACTTTAGCCAGTTACAAACACCTTTTAACATTAGAGGGAAAGATGGAGATTTACTGTACAGAACTCTTTTTTGTACTCATTTATTATGATGAGATTTTGTTTATATCATTTTAACTTTAATTTTTTATCTAACAGAGGCACTTATGATATTTATGTAAAGTGTGATGGTGTCGGAAGGTGTGTTGGTAACTATGATAACCGTGGAAGCTTTGGTGAATTGGCCTTAATGTACAATACACCCAGAGCAGCTACAATCACTGCTACCTCTCCTGGTGCTCTGTGGGGTTTGGTGAGTGATATTTATTGCGGCGATTATCAGAAAACCTGTTTAATCAGCATTATCCATGAATAATAGATAAATGTTAGGGTAGCTAGATGGTGCAGTGGATAGAGCGCTGGGTCTGGATTCAGGAGGACTCCAGATACTTACTATCTGTGTGACCCTGGGGTGACTCATTTGATCTTGTTTGCCTCTGAGCTGGAGAAAGAAATGGCAAAGCACTCCATATAACCCCAAATGGGGTTACAAAGAGTCAGACACAACTGCAACAACTAACCAACCACAACAAATGGATACATGGAGTTCTTTTTTTTAAGTTTTTTTTTCTTTTTTTTAAGTTTTAACTCTTTATCAGTAGACTTTGCAGGATCACAACATCTCAGACTTGGAAGGGACCTCAGAGGATTTCTGGTGTAACCCATGCTTCAGAAATCCTCTCTCTTCAGTGTCTAACCTCTGTCTATTGCCTCTAGTTCTGCCCTTTGCCACCATGTAGAATATTTCATTTCTCTTCCATGGGACAGCCCTTCAGATACTTGATGTTATCTTTGATTAAGCCTAAATACTTCTAGTCCCTTCAGCTGATCCTCATGGCCCATGAACTCTAGGCCCTTCACATCCCAGCCTTATTAATGTCCTTCCTAAAATGCGGTACCCTGAACCCAGCTCAGAATTCTAGATGTGGTCTGACCAGGGCAGAATACAGCTGGACTCTTCCCTCTCTCATTCTTAACAGGATTCCTCTATTAATGAAGTTTAAGAATGAATTAGCATTTTTGATTGGCTCATCATGCTGTTGATTCATATTGAGTTTGCAATCCAGTAAAACCCCTAGGTCTTTTGCACTAGTATCTAACCCTCCTTGCCTCATCAGCTCTGCTACCTGAGTCCTTTGTCTGTTTTAGACCCAAGTTTCTCACCTGAAAATGAGGGAGTTGGACCAGATTGTCTTTCAGCTCTTTTCCAGCTCTAAATCTGTATTCTTATATCTCTAAATCTGATCTTGTACTTGAAAAACTTTTTTAACCCAAATGTAAGTCTTTACATTTATTCCTGTTCAGTGTCATTTCATTAAATGTGGTACAATGTTCTAGCCTGTACACTTTGGAATTCTGATTCTGTCATACAATGTGTTAACTACCCCTAAATGTATTAACTACCCCTCCTTTATTTTGAATTATTAATAACTTAATAATATTTATTGATCACCTGCTCAATAGAATATAGCATTATTAGATGCCAGACTAGGTGGTGCAGTGGATATATAGCTAAGTAGAAATCCTGTCCAAGTAGCTGTGTTACCCTAGGCGAGGGCATTTAGCCTTTCAGTGTCTGATTTCCTCATTGGTAACAGAAGGGGGTTGGCTTGGTTTTAGCTCTAAATCTATGTACCTATTACCCTAGGTTGGTGAGTTGAATTCTGTACCCTAACATCTCCCCTTTCTTTGTATCCTCCTTTCCTATTCCCACTTTAGCAATTAGGATGCAACTGGGCATACCATCTTTGGGCAGTATTCCATGCTGCAAAATAATTACTTTCCTCTAACATTTGTACCTCCCACCACTCAATTCTTCCCATTTCCTTTGTACCCTTAGTGATAAAAGAAAGTGTGTCAGAGGAATTGGAAATGCTGTAATGACTGTCCAGTGCATTCATATTCGAAAAGAAAGAAGTCCTATAGAAAACTTTTGCATTGATAATAGTAGAATTTTATGCCATGCAGCATTGAAGGGTGCCTTCCCCATGTTTTTCAAATCCTACCTGGAAGGCAATTCTCCCTACACATAAGGCCTGCCTCTGTCCAATACGTATTTTGAGGGCAATGTTTACATATGTTTTTGAAATTTAGATGAAGTTAAAAAGGACTTCTTTGGTAGTTTCTGAGAATTCTTATCTTTAAGGAGTGTAGATATTCTGTCCCTATCAGGACACTATTGATCACAACTCTAGATCAATAATTTCTTGAAATTAGAACCTTTATTTTAAGTTATAAAAGAAAAATTGAACCTACTTAATGGGAAGAAGGACATCATTATCTCAAATCTGCTCTAAATATTAAATGTATTGTAAAAAGGAAACTGAGGGGAATAGTTTTATTTGTTTTCAAACTGGGAATATAATGTGGAGAAAATGATGCTAATGGTATAAGAAGGAAAATGTTATAAAATCGAATCATTTGGGTCAAGTATAAAAACAGGGCCAAGGAAACTTCTTTCATTTAATCAGTAGGATCAGCTTGGTTTTGAAGGTAGGTTTTCTCCTCAGGAAAATTTTCAACTTCGGTGAAAACTTTAAATGGCTAATATAGAAATATGTTTTGCATGTCTTCACATGTATAATGGGTATCATATTCTCAATCAGGGTGGGGAGGGGCTGGAAGGAGAGAATTTGGAACTCAAAAAAAATTTTTAAAGAATTTTTTAAAAGGAAACTTCAGTTGACTATTAAGGCTAACCATTCCCTGTTCTGTGTGCTAGGCATTTCCAGAGAAGCACTGCTTCAAGCCCCTAGAATACGATTTAGGCAAGTCATAGTCATACATATGAAATATATGCTTTTATGTGTACAGACATGTATTTGTTTTTGTTTTTGGTGAGGGCAATTGGGGTTAAGTGACTTGCCCAGAGTCACACAGGTAGTGAGTGTTATGTGTCTGAGACCGAATTTGAGCTCAGGTCCTCCTGACTTCAGGGTCGGTGCTCTATCCACTGCGCCACCTAGCTGCCCCTAGACATGTATTTTTAAGATTGGTTTGTCAGCTGTGAATCGCTTATGATAACCACCTCACTGTGCTATGTACAAAGCATAAAATGTTTTTAAATAACCAAAAAGTAATTAGTACCAGAAGCTTGGTTAATGTGCAGCTTTCTCAGGAAAGACACATTTAAAAACCAGAATTTTGCATTTAAAATTGAAAGTCAGACCAGGATAAAAACAATGACAGTTTTGTCAAGGACACCCTGTGTAGAAAAAATGGCCTCCCGTGATAAACAAAAATTTGAAAATTGTTAGCAGCAATACATTAGCTGCTCTCAAATGTTATATGCTGTTTTCTATAGAGAGAGGCAATTTGTAAGATGACCAGGGTCCACAGCATCTAGCTGAGAATTTTACGAACAAAATATGATCAATATTCTGGATTCTGTAGGCTGTGGAACACTGGTATCCAGTGTCTCCTGAGACTCAAACCATTTAGGAGCCAGTTTGTTTCATGAGCTACATCTTTGGCATAGTCTTTGTGCCGTAACAACAATTTATTTATCAGTTGAGTTAATGCAGATCTAAGGTATGTAGAGAGGTTCATGGAACTAAAGCAGAAAGCAATCTCAGAAGCCATCTGGTCCATTTCCCTCCTTTCATAAATGAGTAAAGTGAGACCCAAGGAGGTTAAGTGATTCAGCCAAGGTCACACAGGTCACCAAAACATTCAGAAACTAGGCCTCTGACTTCAGGTGCAGTGCTCTTTTACATAACTAACAAATGTTAAGATAGTTTTATTTTAAAATTTAAATAACACTTTGAGAAATTTGTTCATGGCCAGTAAAATTTATAGCAAAATATTTTTGAAGAGATGTTTTTTAGTTGTTGTTTTCCTTTGTAATTTATTTTAAGTGTGATTCTACAGTTTGAGGTATTTTATAATGTAGATAAGGAAGAAGTCTGACCCTTCCATCTCTGAACCTTGTGATCCAATGGTGAAACATTGGAAGGCTGTATCCTAAGTGGAAAAAAAAGTTGTAATTTCTGTGCCTCTAGAAGTCTTAAAATAAAGAAAATAACCATATGTCTTAGACTTAACTATGAACAAAGACAGGGAACTGAAACAGATTACAGTGCCTTAGAAATCCAATTCCATCATGAATTATTTTTTTGAAGTTTGACAACACCCCCTAGTGGTAGATTAGTATTCTCAATAAAATTCTAAACTATGTGTGTGTGTGCGTCTAGAAGCAAAAGCTGACATTTTCTTTTGGTCATAAAAGTATGCCATGATAATATCAGAATGTTTTGTATAGGAATTTATTATATATTGCATAGTTCAATGTAAAATAATAAATTGTATTAATTGTATTAAATTATCTAGAAGTACATAATATCTTTGGCTTACAACTCAGAGAAACTGGGTTTATTTTAGAGTATGGTCTGCTACTCACTGGAAATGAACTAAAGTCATATATTCAAGTACATTAAATCATCTTTTTTGGTCACTGTCACTCACCTCTTCCATTGCTTTGTCTCATATTTTGCTTTTAGGACAGGGTAACCTTCAGGAGGATAATTGTAAAAAACAATGCCAAAAAAAGAAAAATGTATGAAAGTTTTATCGAGTCACTACCATTTCTTAAATCTCTAGAAGTAAGTGTTTATTTCTATTAGTGGTTCTTTAAGATTTGTTTTTAAGTTGTCTGTTACAGGAGAAGTTGGACCTACGTATGCATAAAATTCTTTGTAGATGAAGCCCAGTGCATCCAACATTTTTAATTCCAAAGGATCAGAACACTATATGTAAATTATACTGATGATCTTTACTGTTAAACCAACTTACAATTGCCATTATTGTCTACCGCTGCTTTTCTTTCTGTTATTTTAAGTGCTCACAAAATCTTGGAGAAGAACTTTAACAAATTTTAATTGAGCTCTTCTTTTAAGAAATTCATTATCTAAAAGAAAACAAACAAAAAAGTTTACACTAAAAAGTTATGAAAATACAGAGCTCTTAGTTGCTATTTTATAGTATTATTTACAGTATTTACAGTATATAAAGTATTTTCACATAGGTAGAAGCCCAAGGGCTTGTGCTGGGGTCCCCCTAAAGAATCCCTTTATATGTACTTTAAAGATTTTCACGGCTGCAGAAGTATAATGTGAAAGAATACCACATTGCTTATCAAACTACAAGCGAATGACCCAAAATACATCCTATAATGTCTGGAGATTCTTCTTGTTCTGTGGTCGGGTTCTTGTTCTGTGGTCGGGTTCTGTTCTTCAGGGAGCTTGACCTTGCTGTACAGATCTCTCTCAGCTTTCCATAGCTCATGTCCCCTTGATGTTTACCTTCTTACAATTTATCACAAAAATGTGATAAACCACTCCGGCCCATATAGGATACCAAAGGAGTCTCGATTCTTTATTTTCATGCATTTTTATCTCCTTCTCCTACTCGTAAAAATCTGTGATCCTAATGATCTCTTCTCCACACTGTATTATGAGAAGGCCCATTTGTGTCCTAGCTTAACTTTTGTTTTCTTCAACTTTTGAAAGTCCTATTCTTGCTTCTTACTGTTTCTTATTGGGTGATTCTTTCCTGGTCTAGTTCAGTTCAATTTGGCAAATATCCATCAAGCACCTACTTTTGCACAAGGCATCCTGCTGTAAACCATGGAGGTACAAAGGCAAAAAAATAAGTAGTCCCTGCCTTCAAGGAGTTTACCACTTCTCAAGGAAGCTCCCTCTCTCCCAATAATATAAGTGCTTGTAGTTAAATATCTAATGGATGCTTCATCATATACTGTCCTTTGTATCCCAAGATGGCAGTCAGTAGAGTATGCAATTGGAATTGGGTTGGTTTATGTTTGTTTTAGATTGCTGTTAAATTTATACTGATTCTTTTTCTCTGGCCCCTTTCAGGATCAGTCGCACGTAAAGATCTGATCTATAGCTTGGCCTAGAGTAAAGGACTGAGCTTGACAAACTTTGGCCATATTAACATTGTGTTCTAACTGAAATTTTTTAAATGACTTCTTACAAATCCCATATTTTCCCACTTTACCATTCAAATACATAGAAATATATAAAAAAACACTATATATTTTATTTCATTAGACAATGCCCCTTAGCAGTTGATGGAACTCAAGATACCATGTAAATGAGCTAAATGGACATCTTGATGCATTCAATATCATGAAGGCCAGTAGCAGAGGCATTAGAGAGGGAATAGTAGATTTTTCTGTAATAATTCTCTCTCCACCCCCACCCTCACCCCCAAATATTTTATTTCCCATTCTCTACTGTTAAACTATCATTCTTCCCCTACTCTTCTTCCCATTAGAACTCAAACTTTGCCCCTGGGATCCTGGGCTCTGATAAATGAACCTCAGAACCAGGCTACTGTGAAACTTCCCTTGCAAACCCTTCTCTCTTCCTTCTCCCTTTCCAACTCTGGTTTCCTTTTATGCATTGTCTTCTCCTATCAGAATATAATCCTCTTAAGACGAAGGACTATCTTGTTTGCTTCTCTTTGTATCTCCAGCACTTAGCATAGTGACCGACACTCAATAAAACCTTGATAAATGTTTTTCATGCATTATGAACTTGGAAGGAGATGAAAGTATCATTACTGCTTCTGACTGACCATATACATGTGACTCAGTGCTGGGGGGTTTGACATTTTAGATAACAAGGCAAACACCCTTAAAAGTTCATTGAGTTATCTACTCCAACTAGTGACCATTAGGGAGTTTACCTTCTTGTCTCAGGGCCTCAAGTCTGAGTCATGTGCACACGGTCAGCTAGCTGTAAGGAGGAAGACCATCTTTGTGTATATCATAATCTGTATAACAACATATGCTACTTTTTTTTATACTTTTCCTTTCTCAAATTTATGCAGGATTTTTCATAATTTTTTGTTACAAAGTACATTTGTGCAAGTTAATTAATTAGCAGTTGAATTAACCATTATTATGCTTTTTAGCAAAAATGGATACATCAAAAATAAAATATGCAGGTTGAGTATTCCTAATATTTAATATCACCTTTTTTGTTTCATGAAGGTCTCAGAACGTCTGAAAGTGGTTGATGTGATAGGCACCAAAGTATACAAAGATGGAGAACAGATTATTGCTCAGGTAGAGTATTTATCATGTATTTTAATTGTATATAACTTTCAAACAATAATAGTTATATTTTTTTATTAATTCCTCCAAAATTATTACCAACTTTTAGCACTTTTGGTGAACTTTCTTACCTTTAAAGTGTCACCCTAAACTACTTTTAACTATTCACACTTTTTAAACTATTCTCAGAGAGAACTCAGAGAAAAGAAGGCACTTACTGTTTTGGATCTCATAAATTGCTTAACATAAAGAGACATACTAAAATGTCTCATCTTATTGACTGGGTTATCTTATCAGGTGATCTAATTGTTTTCAGTGGTCTTTAAACAAGCAAATTTCCTCACTTTATTTGCATATAGGCACTTGAGGTTGGATAGAAGGAATGCCATAGTAGTTCAAGGAAGGTAGAAAAAAATGGCTAGTTTATTCCCTACGCACTGATAAACTAGAGAACAATTTACGAAACCAATGATTTACATGGTTGTAGGTTAGTTCTTCTTTCCCTCTCCCAGCACTTGAAACTTCAACATAGACATACCTATGAAAATCTTATCTCCTAGATAATAAAAATGAGAGGTTTTCTTTAGACTGGTGCTTGATTTCTTGGTCAGAGATGAAAGTGTAAATTTGTAAATCTTATTTTATGTAAACGTCAACCCAAAGAATAGGTTATTTTGTGACATGATTTATTAACTTATTGTGAAGCAAATAGGAATAAGAATAGCTATTTATCAACATCAAAATATAGTAGAAAGAATCTGGAAAAAGCCTATGTTTCCAAAAATATTTTGAGAAACCCAGAAATCCTGAAAAGCAGCAAAATGATTTGACTGACTTTGATTTATCAGCTTTGCTCGTATACATACAGATTACAAAGGAAGCAATAGAATTGAATTAAACATCCACAAAATCCCCATAAAACATTGGCAGCAGAAGGCCTGGGGGAAATTATGTTATTACTGGTTTTTTTTAGTAATGCCTTTTTTGTAACATTGATATTTTAACATATGCTTACCCAACCTCCTCTAACCAGCAGGCCTTCCCATGAGGCAAAAAAAAAAAGTTTAAGTTTAATTAGTTTTTTTTAAAAAATCAATCATATTTAGCAGCATATGCAACAACATTCCACACCCATAGTCCCTCATTTCCCCAATGAAAGAAGTTTATTTTCTCATCTCTTATCTGGTAAAGCTTGGTCATTATATTTGTATGGATTCATTTTCACTCTTTTTTACCTGTATTATTGTGGTCACTGTGTATATTGTTTTCCTGGTTCTGCTGACTTTACTCTGCATTGGTTCATATAAGTCTTCCCAGGCATGAAAGAAATTATAGGACTCTTTCCTGAAGGCCAAGGAAATATTTCTGACAGAAGTTCTGTAGTGTGTCACAGGGTGTACATATCATGTTATGGTGGAAAGGAGTGTTGGCTTTGAAGTTCAAGGAAAACTCCCAGCTCTAGTACTTTCTGTATGACATTGGGAACGCCTTTTAATGTTCCTGGGCCCCTGTTTCCTTATCTGTAAAATGAAGGGGTTGGACTAGATGACTTCTAATTTTTTTTAACAAATTGTTTTCTTCAGTTAGCTTTTGTACCTCCTTTTCCATTTGGTCAATTCTACTTTTTTTTAAGGAGTTGTTTTCTTCAGTGTGCTTCTTTTCCATTTTGTCACTTGTATTTTTAAAGGAATTGTTCGATTTTTCTTCTACCCCTCTTATTTGGCTTTTAAAATCCTTCTTGAGCTCTTCCAAGAAGACTTTTTGGGTTTGAAACCAGTTCATATTCCCCTTTGAGGTTTCGGATGTGAGTATGTTGACAATGTTGTCCTCTCCTGAATTTGTGTTTTGATCTTCCCTGTCACCAAGATACTTCTCTATGGTCATTGTTTTTCTTTGTTGCCTCTTTCTCATGTTGTTTGCCTTTTTTCTGGCTTTTAAAATTGATATCTGTGTCTAGGGCACGGGGGTATTGTCCCAGGCTTCTTGTACCCAGGAGGTAGGGGCCTGGTTACTGGTTTTGTGTGCTGGGGCCTCAGGTGCTAGCAGCTGGAGGTTGTAGGTGTCTGGTAGCTTACCTTGTGCTGAACTAGAACTGGTGGTGGTAGCGGGTGTGTGCCTGGTGTTAGCACTTGCCTGCTACACCACCCTGGTGCTCAGGATCTCCTGCTGGTTTGCTAAGGTGGGGCTTGCTGCTGGCTTGCTAGGACACCTCCCTTCCCGTACTGGTCTCCTTCAGCCACAGCAAGACGGACCTTTCCCCCTAATCCCCCTAGCCTCCCCGCCTAAAACACTGCTGTACCTCGTCTTTCTGCTGGCTCCACTATTCCAGGATTTTTCCTGGGACAATATTCTCTGGGCTTTTCAAGGACAATAAGGGAGGGTGAGAGCAACTTACTGCTTACTCCGCCATCTTGGCTCCCAGAAATCTAAATAGTTGACTTTCAAACATTATGACTGTGGGCTGATAGCTCCCAATCACTCCCAAGACCTGCTCGTGATTTGCTGGGGCTGGAGCTGTATTGGTAGGCTGTGCACTGGACTGTGCTTCTCTTTCACCCAGTTCCAAGAGACCCCTCCAGCTCACCTAAGTTGTCTCTGGCATTTGTGGGCTGAGAAATCTGGAAACTGCCACTGCTGCCAGTGATTCAGTCCCCTGAGGCCTACTCTGAGTTTGCTGGGGCCAGGTCTCTGCCGGCGCCTGGGCTCCTTTCTCAGTACTCCTCTCTCAGCCTGGTACAACCAACCCTTCCTGTCGACCTTCCAGATAGTCTTAGCCTGGAAATCTGTCTCACTCTGTCTCTTTGTGGGCTCTGCCACTCTACAGTTTATTCAGAATCACTTTTTAAAGGTATTTGAAGGGTTTCGGGGAGAGCTCAGGTGAGTCCTTGTTTTCATCTCTGCCATCTTGGCTTCACCCCCTGGATGACTTCTAAGGTCCTCTTCAGCTCTAAGTCCTGTGACCCTATAAAGAGCTGAATAGAATCATATGTATGCAGGGTTCTGCTGGTAGATATTTAGCAACTGGCTCTCTGGAAGAAAAAAATGCACACTTGACTCACTTTCAAATTTAATCTGGATTACTAACATTTTCTCCATTACTTTCTTGAATCTAGGCAATCAACAAAACAATAAGCCAAGCCGTGATTTATAGCATTTGCCAATTTCTGAGGTGCTAAATGCTCACATTCAAAATTTAACAGTTGGTCTTGTGAGCCAGTTTGAGCTGGCTCCAGCACACTCCTGCTTGTGACACAAAGTAGTATTGCCAGGTTTTAAATTTCAAATAGTCGTCACCCAGGCTAAAATTTAGACAGAATCATTGTATCCCATGTATTTGTAGACTTGAGGACATGTACTGACTTTATGACTGTAGTCATGGCATTTAATCTTTCAGTGCCCTAGGCTGTGCTCTAAATAAAGGCTGGGTTGCTAAGCTTCATCAATGGAGGGAGGTCTCATACCAGGAATTACCTACACTTCGAAGTCACAGATCTATAATACACACACATATACACACACATATGCATACATATATGTATATATAGAGAAAATAAGTAAATTAATGAATAAATGGACATGTAAATAAATATGTACATAGATACACATACAGAAAGGGAGGGAGATGTATTGGTCTAATAGAGGGATGTTTGTATTTTGGGGACAAAATCTAGAACAGTCCAAAATATTATGCCACTATTATTATAATGTAATTGGCAACACCTCTCTTGCCCAGAAAAAAAAAAAGATTGCTCATTTTACTGTTTCTTTTCTTTTTTTTTTCTTTTTTGTTTTTGCATGAAAGTGATCTTTATATTCATGGTTGTTGTTTGGATAGAAGTTAAAGTAGGCAAATGAATAGAACAGAGCTTGAATTTTTTGTTTTTTGCTTTTTCTCAACAGGGAGATTCAGCTGATTCTTTTTTCATTATAGAATCTGGAGAAGTAAAAATATCTATGAAAAGGAAGGTAAGATTCCTTAATCCGCTGAAATCCATGTAATAACATACAGAACACTGGTCTAGATTTTCTTTTCATATTTATTTTAAAGAAATTGAATAAATGTTTAATGCATTTCCAGAACAAACAGGAAGCCGAAGAGAATGATGCCATTGAAATTGCCCGCTATTCCAGAGGGCAGTATTTTGGAGAACTCGCCCTAGTAACAAACAAACCCCGAGCAGCTTCAGCCCACGCTGTTGGAACTGTCAAATGTTTAGGTATTTAATTCAAGTATAATTCAATTGGCTCAAATGATCATATCTGTATTTATTTATTTGCTACAGATAGTTTTGTTATGCTTAGAGGTGGAATGCTTTCTGATGAAAGCTCTAGTTTCTTTTCTTTCTTGAAATGACATCTACTTGACCTTTTTTTAAGCTTTCACATTTAATTTGCATTTTTTGTAGTACATACGCTAAAGCATGAAGAAATGTAAAGGTATCATGTTTTAATGGTTAGAATATCAATATAACACAGAATGCCATTCCTAGTCTTTGATAAACAGTTCATTTTTTTTTAATGGATATCCACTCCCTATCTCATAGAATTGTAAAAAGAGCTAAGACATTATTTGTAAATTGCTTTGAGATTCCATGATCAAAGAATAATCATTTACTAATGAATTAATGAATCACTTTTTAAGTGTGTGCTTATTGTGTGCATAGCACTAGGGATACAAATAGAAAGGGAAGATGGTCCCTGCTTTCTAGGAGCTCACATTCTAATGGCCTCAGCACATCTGGCAGGTTTCAAGTGCAAGTCAGATGGAAAAATCCCATGGTCCTTTGAGTGCAGCATCAGAGGAGATGCTAATGCCCCACCTTTAATGTCCTTTCCTCTGATAAAATCATGGAATTTTCTGATGTAGAACCATTTGACAGTACCAAGGACTGTCTTTTCTGGATCTTTGGTAGCCATGCCTACCCTGCAGAAGCAGTTCATGATATTAAGGACCTATTATGTGCCAAGCATTATGCTAAGGGGTGGGAATAAGGAATAAAGAAGTTTCTCCTCACAAATAATTTATATTCTAAGGAGGAAATAGCAAATACATATGTTAAGTATAGAGAGAATAAATACAAATAAACACAGGCTAGTTAGGGAGTAAGGATACAAGCAGCAGGGAGATCAATGAAAGCTGCATTTAGAGAGTGTTTCTTTAAGGAGGAGATGGTTTCAGTGAGACAAAGACGAGGAGGGAATGTGTTCCAGAGGCTAGCCAGTGCAAAGGCTTGAAACAGTAGATGAAGTGTCATGTGTGAGGCCCAGAGAGTTGCCAGTTTGGCAAGATCACAGAGTGCAGGAGGAGAAGGCCCATGAGTCTGGAAAGATGGGTTGAGGCCAGGCTGTGAAGGGGTTTTAAAAATGAAAGGGGGATTATATTTAATCCTAAAGGGAACCACTGGAATTTATTGAGAGCAGAGAGAGTGTGTGACATGGTCGATCTGTACTTAAGAAAAATCACTTTGGCAGCTATGTAGAGGATAAACTGGAGTGGAGAGACTTAAGTCAGTGAGACCAATTGAGAGGTTACTGCAGTAATCCCTGTGAGAGGTGATGAGGCCTGAGCTAAAGTAGTACTAAAGTGGGAGTAGAGAGAAGGGATTCGATATGGAAAGTGTGGATTTGGTCATTGGTGATGAAAGCTCAAATGTAAGAATTATTACTAGAGTGTCAGGAAGAAAAAGTTTTAGTTTTGTCAAAGTGATGCATAAATTCTTACCATGTTTGTATATTCTCAGGCATTAATCACTGACTTTATTACCTTCTTTTTAACTTCTATACCTGTTAGCAGCCCAGCAATTGCAATTTTGAGCAAAAAGATTTTAATATTTATTTTTATGTCCAAAATTAGCTTTTAATGTATTGAAATAAATGCATTTTAGAAGTATGCTTAAATCCTTCCTTGCTATATGAACTTTAATTTGTTTTAGGAGGAAAACACATTTCACAATAACCTTTCAGTGCTTTTTATCAATCTTTTCCCAAATAAATTTTATAAATATACATTAATAAGAATATAGATGTATATAAATATACATACATGTACATATATATTAGGATTATATCTGTTAAGCCAAGAAACATTAAAGAATGATCTTGAAAGAAAAGTTTTAAGCACCAAAGAAGGGGGCAGGGTAGCAGAATTATGAATTTTAAAATGTTTGAGCAAATAATTTCATAAGGAAATAGTCTGGCTTCTTACTGTATTATTACTGGAAGACTGAACACTTTTAAAAGGCACAGAAATGCTTGATTTCAGATGGGAAAGCACAGAAGAGTTGAAAGGTACCTCGAAAGCCGTCTAATCCAAACTGTACCTAATCAAGAATGCTCCATCCCCCCAACCCCATGACTCCCCAGTAAGTGGAAATCCAGCCTTCACTGGAAGATCTCTAAGAAGGGGGAGTCCACAAGCTATGAGCAGTGGCAGCCCTTTCCTCTTTAGGGAAGTTCTGATTGTCGGGGAATTTTTCCTTTCATTGAGCTAACATCCACCAGTATGACAGTCGTTAAGATACTCAAGGACAGCAATCATGTCACCCCCTAAGTCCTGTCTTCTCTGGGCTTAACATCCTCAGTTCTTTCAGCTGATCCTGTTATGGGGCGATTAAGGAGCCCTTTACCATCTTGACTGCCCTCTTTGGAAAATTCTCTTTCTTATCAATATTCTTCCTAACTCGTGGCACCCAGAGCTCAACATAATACTCCAGATGGGACCTAGCCAGCGTAAAATATAGTAGGACTGTCACCTAGGCCTGGATTCTTTAATTCAGCCTTAATATCATATTAGGGTTTTTTGGCTGCCAAATTATGGGGTGGACTCATCTTGAGCTTGCAATCCTACCTTAAGAATAATATTAAACATCTTTAGAATGAACACGTATGTGGATATAAAGGATATTAGATTATTCTACTCATAGAAAAGCTATCTTTATGAAGGTCTTTAAGGTACACACTAGCACAGGTATTTATTAAGTGCCTACTGTGTGCACAGTACTATGTTTAGCTCTGGAGGAGATATAAAGTGTAGATAAGACAAGGATTATAAAAAGTGGATCTGAGGAGGGAATACATTCCAGGCAAGGGGACAGGCAGTGCAATGGGGGGGGTGGTGCATGTTGTATGTGAGGAATAGGAAGAAGGCCAGTTTGGTAATACCAAAGAATGCATGAAGCAGATAATATATAATAAAGCCTGAAAAAAAGTAAGTTGGAGCCAGGTTGTGGAGGGTTTCGAATGCCAAATAGAGGAGTATATACTTCATCCCAGAGGCAGTACAAGGTCACTTGAGTAGGGGGTGTGGTCAGCTCCGTGATTCTGGATCATCACTTTGATGGTGGCTCTGTAAAAGATGGACTGGAGAGGGAAGAAACTTGAGTCAAAGAGATGAATTAGGAGAATATTACTGTAATCCATGTGAGAAATTATAAGGGCCTGAATTAGTGTGGTGGCTGTGGGAGTGAAGAGGAAATGCAAGGCCAGGGTAGGAGTGATGGACTAGGAGAATTGGGAGACATGGAGGATCTCTAGTTTCCTTCAGTTCAAGTGCTACCTCTTACCCAAGGCTGACCTTGATTCTCCCCAGTTTCTAGTGCTACCCTCTACCAATTACTTTGCATTTATTCCATATGTATTGTGTATTTAGTAATCTGTTACTTTTCCCCTCCCCCGGCCCCACTCCCCATCCCCCACCACCATTGGATGTAAGTTACTTAAGAGCAGAGAGCATTTCATTTCTGATTTTATATTCCTGGTTCCTAGCAATTCTTGCCACATAGTTTGTGCTTGATAAATACTTTCTGAGTGAACGAATGATAAAGAATAAGTTTTTAAGGAATGAGACAGAAGGGAGAGATGGAAAAGAAATTAGAGAAAGGGATTTCCAGGTTCAAGATCATTGAGGTAGCACAGTTATGGGTGATGGGGAGATTTAAGATGGAGCAAAAACATAGGCCATAGTATTTGAGGATGTTGATAAAGACACTAAAAGGCCAACTGAAATCCTCAGTTATGAGGGCAGCTTTAGGGGTGGAGGGGAAGACTTCAAGCCAAGAGGAAAGGAAGAAGAATCAGCTAGAGGCCAACAGATTACTGCCGCCAGGATCTAGATTTGAGAAATAAGTACATCCACCAAGTCTGCACCTCAACAGAGGTGACAGCGGATAGTCCAGGAGTGGCGTTGGGGAGCACACATTGGGCAGCCTCCTCCCAGCCCAGTTTATTGGGGGTGGGGGAGTGAGAGAAGGAGACAGCTAGAACTGGAGAGCGTAGCCAGACGTGTAATGGTATCTTTTAGAAAGCCAAATTTCCATGAGATACTACTCACAGTCTAAGGAGCAGCTGAAATAAATTTAACTCATTTTTTTAAAATGAGCAAATTTAAGAGTTTAACAATAGTGAAAACACTTATTTTTCAATGTCTTTCTTGAGGTCTTGTCCAAGACCTCAAGATTAAATCAGCACATATCCTATTACATTGAAAGGTACAGAGAACGGTAAGGCTTTGCCCTTCTCTGGATTCTTCTTTTGGCATACACTCAGCATAGAAGCTGAGCATAGCATGGATTGCTCTTGAACTTGGATGAGTTTATATGCTTTTACATTTTCATATATATGACATATTTGTAACAGTAACTGGCATATATAGTAGGCACTTAATAAATGGTTGTCGGCTGGTTTGTCGTAAGTTATTACATAAATGATTGTGTAATGTGTGATTTTGCATGTGTTGGCTTGTGTTCATGAATGTCCTGCCATTGTTACAAATTTGCAAATAATAGTTGTTTTTTTCTTCTTCTTCTTCTTCTTCTTCTTCTTCCTCTCGCCCTGATCAATCTTAGCCATGGATGTGCAAGCATTTGAAAGGCTTTTGGGACCCTGCATGGAAATTATGAAAAGGAACATTGCAAACTATAAAGAACAGTTAGTTGCTTTATTTGGAACAAACATGGACATTGTGGATTCCACAGCATGAAGGAGAAATATAATTTGACAAGAGCTAATATCACAGAACAGCACAGTAATGGTTGTCCACTGAAAACGTGTCTATCTTTGTTGTAGATGCCGAGCATTTCCTGTGATTTCAGAAATTTTTTTTGCTTTTTTTTACATAACACTATAATGTATCAGTAAACAATAGTGATTTCATAGATAATAGGCTTTACCTACAACACTTCAGAAAGAGCAGATTTTAAGAAATCAATATGTTGATTAAATTAGTTCCTACTCTACAAAATTATTAAGATTTGCTGAAAAGTTTGCTCTAATGATTGTGGCATCTTAGAAATATTAGTGCATACAAAGTTAGTAAAATACTCGTTCATTCTGGTAGATTCAAATTATTATGCCCAAGTCAAAAAGGAACTCGGAAGCTGAGCATAGTTGTAAAGCATGACGTTACATTCTTTCTAAAAAGTCTATATAAGATATGTCTGTTTTCATCCTTTTATTTTCTGGCTTGATGTAGGTCTCTTTGAGAAGTAGCATAAAACTCCACATGCAATGTTAAGGTCTCATATATTTTTGCAATAAAATACATCTTGACTAGTTTGGCATGATGTAGCCAAACTAGCTTATACATTCCACTGGTTTAAGAACTGGCAATCCAAACATTTTTAGTAAGGAGAAGAAAAGCCTTTTTTTTAGATAACAAGTAAATGTCACTTTTTCCTAAGCAACCAGATCTTACCTTTATCTTCTTTCTTCTTTTATAGCTTGCAATCCCTACTATTTTTCACCTTTTAAAAAAATTTAAGCTTTGCTTTAGACTTTGATATTCATCTTTTCACAGCAGATTTTGGTTGCTTTTTTTCCTTTCGAATTTCAAATTAAAATAACTCAAAATTTCTGGGCCACAAATAACTACTGGTATGATCCACCATAAATAAATAAAGTCACATTTGGAGAACTCTTGATAAAAGAGCAGAAGAAAACTATCTTGAACTTTAAACTTATTTATTAAAGGTGACATTTTGGGTTCTACATCCCAGAAATATTTTAGTCACTGTAAAATATTTCCTGTAGCAAAATTAATCTAAAGTCAGAATATTCTTGTATCTAAGAGAATATTATTTCGATATCCTTAGGCTGGGTTTACATAAGATGAATCTTTCCAACATTTAAATCAAAATAGTTTTTTCCTCTCTTGTATTAACTGGTATCTGTCTGTAAAGAGATAGGACAGAATAGAAATTTTATAAATCAATAGCTAGTCACAGGGTTTTTGTCAGAGAAAGCTACCATCAGGGTGGCAGAAATAAAAATTGGAAAAACAGTAACAAAGGAGTAAAATGAGAACAAGAATTAAATGTGTGAAACTGATGTGTGAGCTTATCCCCAGCCCTCCGGATAGATCATTATTCCACCACTTTACATCCCACTCTTTCTTTGCTTTTGTGAGGGCACACACTCAAACAATGAGTTGAACATAAACCATTACTTTATTACCAAGAGTAAAGGAATACTATTCTTGGTTAATATTTCTACTGTTCTAATTTGGAAAGAAGTGAGTTTATAGGATGTTAGATTTAGAGCTGAAAGGGATTTAAAAGTCACACAGAGAAGGCATTGGAAGCCTGGAGACGTTAAATGATTTGCCAAAGTCTCATAGGTTATAAGTGACAAAGGCAGGATTCAAATTCAGATCCTTTGATCAGAACTTTATCCACTTCACAAAACACGCCCTCTTCCCTTAAATTAGTAAGAAATGTCTTTTTCTGTCATATCATTCACTAACAATATTCATGTTAACAAGCTGTGTGTTTGTACTAAAATTAAAATAAATGAATTTTTTTTAATTTCCCTGGAAAACAAGTTTTCAGCTTCAATATAGATGAAGTTAAATATTCTTTATTTACTGTGTTCTGTTTGGACAATCTTTTCGGCCTCATTTGAATATGAAACTATGGTTAGAAAATAATGTACCTATCTGAAGTTGTGTACAAAACAGAATTAAAAGTGTACTTCAGCCAAATTTTAAACGTATTAACTTTTTTTTTACACATGCTACCTTGTAGGGAAAAATGTTACATACATGATGATAATTTGTTAGCCTTTGTACTTCAGATTTTATTTTAAAATGCTGTGTCTTATACAAGGAGAAAAACACTAATTAACCAGAATTTTCAGTTCATCATTCTGTATGCTTACTTCTAAACAAGTTATTGGTTCTGTTGCACTAGTTTATTGCTAACTCTTCATAGAATGATAAAGAAATACTTGTACAACACAGAATTCTGATCGAGGTTGTAAATGCCAGTCACAATATTTTCAGTATTGTTGGTTATATTTAAAGTTTCCTTATAATAAATCACTTTTATAGTAAATTATTTAATTGTTGTTTTTAATACACACTAATGATTAATATGATTCATAAAGCAGAACAGAGCTGAGAGTTTTATGAAAAGATCACATTATTGGCAGTGATGGTGTGTGCCTGTAATCCCAGCTACCAAGGAAGCTAATCTAGGAGATCTCTTGAGCTGAGTTCAGAGATACAGCCTACTAAACAGATCAGGTGTAGGCTTTCAGTCTGGCATCAATAAGATGGGTCCTTGAGAAAGGGAGCCCAGCAGGTTGACTAAGGAGGGGTAAACTGGCCCAAGACAGAAATGGAGCAGATCAAAGTCTCCATGCTGACCAGTAGTAGGATGGGGTCCAGGAGTAGCCCCTGCACTTCTAGCCTGGGCAGGATGGGGCAATCCAATATTAGAAAAAAAAAAAGACTCAGAGCACTAGGTATGATGAAGCACAAGGTGGTATGGCTAGGTTGTAATTTTTTATATTACCATTTATCACTCATGAGAAATAATTTCATATTTTTAGCAGATGAAACTTGGCCATTAAGAATGCTCAGAAGAAGGTTTAACTGAGCTGGCTAGTATATGTGGAAAGTTACGCACACACATATACACACACACATCCTTGTAGTTTGGATTCATGGGTGTCATATCCTCATTCAATTACTGTTCAGTAGGCCTTGCCATGTGGAAATTTTCTGTAAAAATCTCATCCAAGAAAATAAGCTTCCTGAAACTTTTCATCTGGCTAAGGAAATGCTTGGTTTTCCATCTGAGGACTTGTTAAATAAAACACAGGTGTTTCCTCCCTGAGGCCTTTTTATATAAATGGAAAATGGTAGAGATGAGTGTGTTATATCTTGTGTCAATGTGTAAGACTGTGGATACCTTGTGTAGGGGTCAGGTGCTGAGTATAATAATTTCATATCCCAGTACTACTATTGCATAGGCCTTCCAGCTGATGTTATAGCTTGTAACATTTAAAATACACCCACCCACACCCCTCCAGCCGCCCCCTCCCACCCTGCCAGGTGCACTCTGAAACGTATTTCTAATCAACTAGTGCACTTAAGCGTTTTTTCACATAATTTGCTTCATTGCAATGTATCGAATTTTTTTTTAATTAGATTTGGGATTTCATCACTATGGAAGTTCCCTATGAAGAACTCCTACTAATGCTGGTCAGTCAGCAACGGCTCTCTTCATTTTTCATTTGGGACTCCACTGATGTCGAGCATCCTCCAGGATAAGCTCCTCGCCTGAAATCTCATCAGCAGCATCATGCAGATTGACTCCACTTTGATACTCAACACCTTAGCACTTTCGGTTGCTTCTCCCTTCTAATTGGCCAGCTGGAAGGTGCAGCAATAAATTCCTCCCAAAGCCTTCCTTTAGTTTCAACACCAAGAGCATACAGATGTCATTCCCCCACCTCCCCTTCCCCCCAATCCTTCTCCACCCTCCATTTTAGGGGTTTTGTGGGTGAGGGGGGTCAGCTTCCTTTTGTGTATCTTCCCCAATTGGATCGTGAGCTCCTTGAGGGCAGGGACTGTCTTTTTCTTATCCCTGGAGCTTAGCACTGAGCACATGTTTCTCAGTCATGTCTGACTCTTCGTGACCCTTTTGGGAGGTTTTCTTGGCAGAGATCATGGAGTAGTTTGCCATTTCCTTCTCCAGTTCATATTACAAATGACAAATTGAGGTAAACAGGGTTAAGTCACTCGCCCAGGGTCAGACAGCTAGTAAGCATCTGAGGCCAGATTTGAATTGGAGAAGATTAGTCTTCCTAACCCCAGACCTGGCCCTCTGTGCACTGTGGCGCCACCTAGCTTCCCACCTGGCACACTGAAGGCCCTAAATAAATATTTCTTGACTTTATTGACTAGAGGCTTAGGCTTTTGAGAGTTGCATCAAGGACACTAAGAGCCTAAGTAACTTGCCTCGAGTCACACTGCCAGTATGTGTCAGAGGTAGGATTTGAACCCTGGTCTTTATGACTCTGAGGCCAGCTTTCTATCCATCATGCCTTCCCTACCATGTAAAATAATGAATACACAATTTAAATTTTCCAATCAATTCAATAAATATTTATTAATTGCCAACTATGTGCCAGGCACTGTGCCATACACTGGGCATACAAAAAAGGCAAAAGACAATCCCTACCCTCAAGGAGTTTACAGTCTAGTAGGAGAGACAACATGCAAACAAATATATACACGAAGCAAGCTATATATAGGATAAGTGGGAAATAATTAACAAAGGGAAAGCACTGGAATTAAGAGGGGAAAGCTTCCTGTAGGAGATGGGATTTTAGTTGGGACTTAAAGGAAGCCAGGAATGTCAATAGTTGGGGCACAGAAAGGAGAGAGAGCATTCCAGGCATGGATGACAACCACAATGTCAGGAGCTGAGAGATGGAATGTCTTGTTCGAGGAACACTCAGGAGGTGGATATCACTGGATCTAAGAGTAAGCATTGAGGAGGAAGGTCTAAAAAGAATGGAAAGGGAGGAGGGGTCTAGGTTTTGGAGGACTTTGAAGCATTTTGTATTTGCTCTTGGAGACAATAAGAAGCCATTGGAGTTTGTTAGGGAGAGTGATTCATACCCATATCACTTTAATGGCTGAATGGAGAAAGGAATGGAGTGGAGAGAGAAACTTGAGGCAGGCAGACTTCCCCACTCCCTGCCAACAAGCTCTTGCAGTAATCCAGGCATGAGGTGATAAGGGCCTACACCAGAGGGGTAGCAGTGTCTGTGACAGAAGTGGGGTGTATTGGAGAGATGTCGCAAAGGTCAAAACAACAAGCCTTGGCAACAAAGTGGATACTGCCTGGGGTGGAAATGGTGAGGAATCCAGGATGACGCCTGCTGCCTTGTGAGCCTGAGGCACTGGGAGGATGGTGTTGCTCTCAACAGTGTTAGGAAAGGTAGGAGGGCAGGGGAGAAGATTTAGAGAAAAAATAATGAGTTCTATTTTGGACATATTGAGTTTAAGATGACTACTGGGGCATCTAGTTCGAGATGTCTGAAATGCAGTTGGAGATGTGACATTGGAGGTCAGAAGAGAAGTTGGAGCAGGATAGGTAGATTTGAGAATTATCAGAAAAAAGATTGTGATTAAATCCAAGGGAGCTGATGAGAGCAATCACAATGTAATTTACACAATGTAAATTTTAAGATGTGAAACTAAATTAAGGCAAGTAATTGCCACCTTGTAGCCATTAATGTTCATTTCTTTGGATTGTGAGGATTTCAAATTTTCTTAGACATTTTTAAAAAGTGATGATTGGTTTTGTTATTAATACTTGATATGCATTTCAACTAGATGGGCCTTCTATTAGTAGCAATGTACCACATTTTTGAGGGTGCCCATATTTAAAAGTGGAACAAACCTAGAAAGATAGTTAGACTTAAACTTTCTCATATTACAGGAGACCCACAAGAGGAAGTTTCTTTATGAAGTAATGAGTAGCTGTAGTTTTGTTTCGGCCTTCAGAATTTAGACCTGATATGTTTCACCCCTTGGTTATATGCATTTTTATGACATGTTACAAAACACTGTGGGCTAAGAGACAACCTCAGAGAATATCACTGGTTATATCAGCTCTTCCTATGTTACTACCTAAGCTACTTTACATACTTCTCCATGTTGTAAATTCTACTTTGTATTAAATGAAAATGATTGGATTAAATAAATCCAGTGTAAATTCAAATCATTTCCTAGGATTATTGAGTTGGAATGAACTTTGTTGTTCAGTCATGTCCAACTTCATGACCTCGTGGGCCATCGTACTCGAATGCTGTCCGAGAGGTTTTCTTGGCAAAGATATTAGAGTGGTTTGCCATTTCCTGGTCCACTGGATTAAGGCAAACAGAAATTAAGTGACTTGCCCAGGGCCACACAGCTAGTGTCTGAGGGTGAATCTGAATTTGGGGCTTCCTGATACCACACCCAGCCCTCTATCTATGAGCCACCTACCTGCCTCAAAAGACCATCTAATCCCAGCCCCTCATTTTACATATAAGGAAATTGAGGCATGGAGAGGTTGTGACCTACGCAAGGTTTATAGTAACCATTTAATTTCATTTTTGTGTAAATATTTAGGGTTTCAAGTACTATCTGTGCACCAAGTTAATGTTTTTTGAACATTGTGAACTCTAATTCTCAAGATCTTTTAAAATGTTTACAGTGAAATACACCATACAAAAGGATAAGGCACTCTGGCCTATGAGGAAAGGTCTATAAGAACGGAGAATAAAGATAGTGATAATTCATTGATAATTGATATTGATAATTGCATATTGATAATTCATCTTTCTCCTAATTTTCACAGAGAGCTTTGAGTTTGAAAGCTGCTATTTTATCCCAGATGTTGAATGAATTTTCATAGCAAATAAGAAATTTGCAAACCTGGATTGGTAAAAATCATTCTTGGAAAATTCAAAGCTTTGTAAAATAACATTAAGTTTTTCTTCTAGGCACTAGGGAATATTTACGAATTAGCACGCAGGTACAAAATGATAAGACTTTGTTTTCTGTTCCTTTATCAGAAGTTAATCATTTATTAGTCACATACTACATGCTATACAAAGAAAAACATAAAACCACCCCTGACCTCAAGAAGCACACATTCTAAGAGGGGAAACATGTAAATAACTAGATACATAGAAGCTACATGTAAATAAATGATAAAGTAAATGAAAATAATGTGAAAAAAATGGAAGGGGGATCAGGAAACACTTGCTGATTGTAGAGGGGAGCCAGCGAAGTGGTAGAGGTGGGGTAGCAGAGCATTCCAGGCATGGGTACTAACCAGGGTAAAGAAGGATCCCATATACAACTTTGGAGTAAGGGTAAAGAGTTGCGAAAACAAACAGCCTTATTTTGGCAAAGGGGGAGGATTTCAAATGATAGTTGCAAGACAATATTTACCGGTTTCACAAGACTTGAAAGTAG